TCTTAACTATCAAGGACCAGTATCCTGTTTTTCTCCATCCTGAATTCCCCTCAGGGTGCACTGCAGTGGCTGATGGCCTGATGGCTGATGGCTGGATGATAGGCAATGTTCTTTGTTTACTGAAATGACAAGCAACTTTTTTTGTCCATACTGCTGACACCTTGATTTTAGACTTCTGCCTACCACAAGTTGGAGACGATAAATTTCTGTTGTTTTAAGCTACCCAGCTTGCAGTCACTTGTCACTGCAGCTCTAGGAAATTCATTAAAAATATATATTCATATAATAGTAATATTGCAAAATATAGATGGAGAGATAGGTATAGAGAAATACACAAAATATATTTTCCCCAAATTTCCACATTTTTTCACAATAAAGTTTACTGTTTTTTAATGTAGGTATAAAGAAAGCTAGCAAATTTTATGTCAGGCCAAATAAAATGTAAGCAAAAAATTAAATGTGCCTGTATTCTCATGGACAATTCCCTACGAGAAAGCTGGCCACTGTGACTCAGGGAGCCCCTCCAGCCCTGTCCCCTGTTTGCAGCTCTGAAAGCTCGGGCTCTTACCCCGTCCTCAGGTGTCTGTTTCTCCCTCTCTCCCACCTCCTTCCCTTCCGTGTTCAGGCTGGCTGGGCGGTCTGGTTGGGGTTGGGTCTCTCTCCTCTCTCTGCTGCCTTGGTTCCTGCGATCCCTACTTGTCTGGGAACGGGGAATCAGACATTTACAAGGAGGGGCTCTTACCGTCTTTCCAGTGCCCATAGCACGTGTGGAGGGATGCTGAGCAAAACCCAGCAGTGACCCTTCCGCACCACCGTGTGAATTCCGTCGCAGCGCCATGTGGTGACGGTTTTCTGTTCTCTAAGGGCTGAGGTGGGGATTAAAGTTATCTTTTGTTGGTAGTGTGGGGGGAAGGCCAAGTGATGAAGACGCAGTCCACTTTTTTTTTTTGGAAACTGGACGTCCTCAGTATTCTTGCTGCCCAGTGTGCCCACATCACCCAACAGAGCAGGAGCCATCTAACTGGGCGGATTCTGGGAAGACCGTAGCTCTCCTGGGTGTCCCAGGCAGGTAGAGAGGATCACTCAACAGCACCCTCATCCCAAGCCGGGTTTAAGCCCGGTCTGCCACACTACCACCAGGTGGCGCCAAAGCGCAACCAGACCTGGTGGATCCTGATCCCGCAGCCTCTAATTAGAGACGTCGGGAAAGCAAGCTGCTTAGGTCTCTGCAGAAAGGGCCCACCCTGTCCTCTGCCCTTTATCCCCAGGGCGGAAATTCCCCTTAAGCGGATATGAACACCGTCAGCCCCGAGTTAGGGTCGTGAGGTCCCAAAGTGGAGATTCTCTGGGGAGAACAGGGAGGCAGCAAGCCTTGCATGAGTGAACCCGCAGCAGCCCGGCAAGGTATCAAGATTGTCAAAGGACCAGAGAACCTGAGTCTGAAAAGGTTCCACGAAGGTGGCTGGGACAGGGCTGGCAGAGTGGAAGTGGCCTTGAGATCTGGGCCAGTAGCCAGAACTTCAGAGTGTGGGAAACAGGCCGCTAAGCTGAAGTCTGCATGGTCTGTGGCAGGTGATAAGCCTGGGAAGGGAAGTTGACGTACATCTCAAGGGATGCCAGGGTGGGCAGGCGACGACCGCAGAACATTCAGATCTCCCTGCCTTACTGCTGCAAAAGTTCCTCCTGACTTAGGTGCAACCTCCTGTAAGAGGCTGGGAAATTATAATTGACTTGGAAAAGCCTGAAAAACCAGAAATGGCCGAGTTTACCTGGAAGTGACTAATATTTGTGTGTGGTTGGTGGGTTTT